TGCACCTGATGCTTGTCTGCTGGAATGTCCCGAGACGTGTGGAGGAGGAAAGCAGTGCTGTGACCCTGGTCCTACCGGACCCAACGGTTGCTCATAGACATGTTGTGCCATTTCTTTTTCTGTATTCCCTTTGTACCGCACGCCTGGGCACTGTCTGTATCATAGGGTTTGCGTGTCCAGTAGCCCGGGCTTTTCTTTGCGTTATCGATGTTGCTTCATTCTGGTGAGCTGCTTTTCCCAACAAAAGCGTGCGTGAGATTGTTGTGGATGATTGAGGGGGCGCTTTAGTATCGGCTTTTACGTGACGAGGAAAGAGGCAGGCATTGTATGAATAGTCCAAGAGTAATGAGCCGAGGCAGTTTTTTGCCTCGAGCCTCCCAGATGCATTAGCCCTCAAGGTTGCTGCACCATGCTAAGTGTTGTGGAGTGCGCAGAGCGCGGCTGGTTGCAGGCGGGTCAAGCCTAGCCACCGAAGCGGGCAGTATCTCCATGACCCTGAGACAGGGCGTTATGAGTGCCAGGGATGTCCTGATTCCGTGTTGTTGGTCTGCCGTGGGCCGCCACCGCTACTATGTATGTATGGACCGACAACCCATCCACTGATAAGCGCGTGTGCATGCCTTCTAGAATGTGAATGCTATTGCGTCCCAGGGTAGAACGGGCTTATGGCGGATAGCCCAGGTAGTTCGCCGGGGGGCATGCTCGGGATTAACACGGGTATGGCGCTTACCACAGGATCAAGGGCGCCACTGACATGTACCATGTCCGTATCTGCAAGTGAGAAAAGCTTGGAGTGCGCCTTCCGCCCTGGGCGTCTTGGCTCCGCGTGACTGTGACGGCATCAGGGTAAGCGAAGGATGACTTGAACACCACCACGCATCCAAGTGGCTGGAATCATCATCATCATACCTTCCACCATACACAGAGCCACAGATGCAATCTATAGCGGACGGCCTAAAACTACCAGGGTTGTCAAAGCGTACGGTAAACGGTAGGGCCAACACATGCGCTTTCCTCGCCTGATTCTCGGTGCTCGTGTGGCCACATCCTCCATGCAATCGGTAGGCAGACCGACTAAATTAGGGCGCAGCTCCACAACGGGAGAAATATCTGGCTGATTGACCGTCTGCCCCGTTGTCTAGGAGAAGCTTATCTGTCGGTGTCGCCCGAAACAATCTTATTAACGCGCCGAGGTCCTTTGAGTCGGTCCCAGACACCGGATAGAAGAAGGCGATGGCCATAATTCTCGTCCGCAATCGGCGTGGAAGTGGGTCGGCATAGCAAATTTTCGCACAAGAAATGTCATCTGGATGGCAAGAGATTCCTGCACTATTGTGGTTCAATGTTTGGCCTGATGGAAGGATGGGCGCGGTTGGAACAATGGGTTGCCGCTCGCCTCCCCCAATCTGTATGTATGTAAGCGGCGGCAAAAGGTGGTGTGCGGCCTGGTGACACCGTGCAGCAACTCTAGCCGCATACCAATACAACCGACGAACCACACCGAGCGCATTTGTATTCAGTCAATCTCCGGCATGTCGGCACGCCCTGTTGGATGTATGGGATGCCGGTCATTAGTTGGTGTGTCCAAAACATGAACATGAGAACGTAAGATCGCCAGGTTGGGGCACCGCTTTCGGCAGGTGCTTGCAGCCATGCTAACACACTGGCGAATCGCTAATATGCATGCCGAGCGCCTGCGGAGCAGCTAAGCCGCCAAGGGAAGGCTTTGGCAAGCTTTGCACCGGAGAACAGCTTTTATTTGGTAAAGGGTAGAGCTATCAAGACGTTACATCGCCTTAGCAAATTGCTTGTGCGTGGTTACGCCCCACACCGCGACACCAAGAGGCGAAGAGCGACGCGGTCGGTTATAGTAGGACGGTGCTGTGGATATCGCGCATGTTGAACGAGGGGGTGGGTTAAATATGGGGGGGCACCGTCTTTCTTCTGAACATGCTCCAGGTGGTTTCGGTCCCTTTCTCCCAGGTCACACTTGTTGCTCTTGCCCTGTCTTCCATTGACCTGGTCTTTGGTTGCGATTGAGTTTTGGAACTATGGCGTCCACGCACGAGACTACTGCGTGAGTTTTACCAGAGTCACTGGATCTGACTCGACTAACCTCACCATAGCGCCGAGGCACTCCAGCACAACCAAGAGGTTGCTGACCACAAGCCCCATGTCTACGGTGCTACCATTAACGACTCCAACGTCGCCGGCGCGCATGCCTCTCTCGAGAAGCCTCACATGGATGGTTCCGACTCGGCTTCCGTCGTTGTCGAGGAAGATGGCATCGGTGGTGTCAAGCCTACCGCTGAGGATCTCGCTACCCTCCGCAAGGTCGGAGAGCCTCTCCCCAAGAGCGCTTTCCTGGTCGCCATTGTCGAACTCTGCGAGCGCTTCACTTACTATGGCGCCTCTGGTATCTTCCAAAACTACATTGCTCGTCCCCGCAATGGAGATCTAGGTCGCGGTGCTCTGGGTATGGGACACCAGGGAGCCACTGGTCTTTCCACCTTCTTCCAGTTTTGGTGCTATGTCACTCCGATTCTTGGTGCCATCATCGCCGATCAATACCTCGGAAAGTACAATACGATTGTCATCTTCTGCTGCGTCTACATTGTCGGACTCATCATCCTTACCTGCACCTCTATCCCTGCTGCGCTCGATAGTGGCGCAGGCCTTGGAGGCTTCATCGTGTCCATTATTGTCATTGGTCTAGGAACTGGAGGTATCAAGTCCAACGTTGCGCCTTTGATTGCCGATCAGTACAAGCGAAGGCAGATGGTCATTGGCCGTGATGACAAGACTGGCGAGCGTGTCATTATTGATCCTGCCATTACCATTCAGAGAATCTACATGGTAAGCTCTCTCCAGTCTGTAAAGTCTTGAAATCATGCTAAACGTCTCAGATTTTCTACTGGTGCATCAACGCCGGATCTCTTTCGCTGCTTGCCACACCTTATATGGAACGCGACATTGACTTCTGGACCGCATACCTTTTGTGTCTTTGTGTCTTCTTCGTCGGCCTGCTTGTCCTTGTGCTTGGCCGCAAAGTCTACGTTGTCCGCCCTCCTCAGGGCTCTGTCATTACGAACGCGTTCCGCGTAATCTTCATGATGATCAAGAACCGCAACATGAACGCCCCCAAGCCCTCTTACCAGGCCGGTCTTGGCAGGGATACAGCCCTCCGCTGGGACGACCACTTCGTCGAGGAAGTCAAGCGTGCGCTCGTCGCTTGCCAGGTTTTTGCGTTCTACCCGATCTACTGGGTCATCTACGGCAACTTCTCCACCAACTTCGTCACCCAGGCTGGTGAAATGCGCAGCCACGGCATTCCCAACGATTTGATGCAGAACTTTGATCCCATTGCCATCATCGTCTTCCTACCTCTTGTCGACCAAGTCCTCATGCCCACCCTCCGCAAGTACAAGATTCGTTTCCCCCCGATCAACCGTATTGTCACTGGTTTCTGGATCGCCGCTTTGGCCATGGTCTACGCCTGTGTTATCCAATACTACATTTACCAAGCCGGTCCCTGCTACGGCAAGCCTACCGCTTGCGATGCCGATATCGTAGATGGCGTACACCAGGGAAACAACATTCACATTGCAGCTCAGACTGGTGCCTACATTCTCATCGGTCTCTCTGAGATTTTCGCCTCAGTCACTGGCCTCGAATACGCTTACACTAAGGCGCCTCCTGGCATGAAGTCATTTGTTCAGTCCATGTACCTCCTTACCAACGCTTTCGGTTCCGCCATCTCTGAGGCGCTGAACCCGCTCCTATACGATCCCGCTATCATGTGGGTGTTTGCTGGTCTTGCCATTGCTGCCACCATTGCAGGTGCCTTGATTTGGATCATCTTCCACCACCTCAACGACATTGAGGACGAGATGAACCAGCTTGACCAGGACATGGATAAGGACCTAGTCATGCGCAAGAACAGTGTGAACGGTCAGCACACAATAGATATTGATGAAAAGGCATAGATGACCTCGGGAGATGGAGTAATGTTAGCATGACGATAATATGTTGTTTAGATAGTAGCTATGATACCAAAGATGAATAACGTACATCCCGCATAACTGAGAACCCCTCCTCACCGAGATAGATTTGCTATCTGACCTTCTATTTTCATTCTCCTTGTGCTGATCAAACTGCACTTAGCGTTGCATTACTCATAAGCTTTTTCTCTTTTGCCTTGTAATGCGCAATATAGAAATTACGATCTTTTTCGTTATATTATACATGATTTCATGTGCAGCGCCTGTAGCCTCTCCTCCGCATCTATGCATTACTATAGCTAGTAAAGTATTTTCTTAGTTGGGAGTATTGTTATAATAGCTTAATAGCTAAGACATGTTATGCTATGCACTGAATGCATTTAGCCATAAATATGACTATTTCCGCGAATTTCTCCGCGCTAAGCACATTATGCTAAGAGTGATGTACCCTAGCCTCATGACCTAGTAGTGCGCTTACATAAGATAGAACAGAAGACAGATTACATGTTTTGTATACCGCGCTATGCCTGGTTGACTTACACTGTGATGCTGCTTTAGAGTGCCTTTAAATAGCACGGACTAGCCATCTATGACTGATAGCGGGTAATTGTCTTTTGACGCTTATTCCCAATCCGACGCTAGCTCACTCAATTCATAAAGCGCTGCTAGCGTCAATCCGTGACTTATACCTTGAGGTTGTAAGGTATGTAGAAGTTGTCGCTAGTGTACCTGGTAATGGACCGGCTTCAGCATTCGTGGTGGTCTTATATCATGCCGGATAACTTTAAAGCCCATCCCTGCGTAGCGGGACACCTTGCGTGATAGGACGCTATGAATACAATAGACCAGAAATATAGAAATCTTGGGAATATTATGAATTCTATTCTCTCTCGATATTTTTTTAGGAATAGGTTCGATTTACTGTGTAATACAGAGATTTGCTACAAGCGTCGCGAGGTCGCCTTGCTTTGGCTGGTAGTGGAAGTATCGAAAATTTATGTGTTATTGAAAACCTCTTGTTGTGCATTTTGTTGTATCAATATCCTATTATGAGAACTGCACTGGAGCAGTTTTATCGTAACATATGAAATACAGCTATGCCCTCGTTGCAAACCCGTCATTGACATTAAGAGAGACATCAACGCACCGATATGCTTTTAATCCTTAGCACAAAAGAATATCAGGGATATGAAGGCCACAAAAAGCTGTCCAAACGCCATTGCAGTAGCCCAGTCCCTAGTTGAGCCACCCCAAACAATGACACAAAGCCACGTTATGGCGAGGCTAAACCAGATCCAAGCTATCTTAACTGGCATTTCACAGGTAATACGATCCATTTGCCATCCCATAACGAACTCTATACCACGTAGCTTGTCTTTTCGGTAATAAGATTGCTGACGTCCAGGAACTATAACCTGTCTAATTCACATACCGTATCAGCAATGTTCGTAACAGAGAATTAATGCGCTTACTTAGTATTATAAATGCAACTCTCTTGCGCCATGCCATCCAAAGTCTGTAGCCCATTAGCTTTCCATGGGTTACGCGCACAATCTTTTAGTAGATAGAGGATATCAAATTTCTCCATTCGTTGCCGGGCCATCTGAATTCGGTCATTGAGACAGAGATCATCGGATGTATCCATCATATTCTCGCAATCTCTGCTATGCCAGCCTTGTTCGTTACAATGATCACCAAAGTCGTAATCAGGTTCTAATGCAATTGTCTGTTCCATCTTTTTGCGAATTTCTTCGACATTGACCGGATATATGTGGATAGGGATCGGCCCAGTTCTGTCCGGATCTCCAAGCAGTCGAAACTATGCAATCTTTGTAAGTCACATAACTAATTATGGCTAGAATTGTTTTGTTTTCTTACCTCAACTTCATGTACATCAACGACACCATAGAAAGGAATCCAATGCTTCCATTTACCGTGATATTGGAAGCAAGCGTCGTTCAATCTTTGGTAGATAGCAGCGTCACTTTCACAAGCGTTCTCTTTTGGGTCAAGTTTCTCGTAGATTTTCTTCTCCGATTGTATACCCCCGCTCTTATTCACTAGCTGACGACGTGCGAATCTACGCCACTTGATAGGACGGAAGCAGTGTAGTCGAACTGCGTATTGCCCAGATTTCTTCCCTCGAAGGCAAAGGAAGCAACACTGCGCTGTTCGATCTGGAATACATTTACGCTCTCTAGAAGGTATATCGGAATCAGGTCCGAAGAAGGGCATTGCTATTAACCTTTTGGAATCTGAAACAGACAATACCTCTTTTAGGCTTTCCTGCGCAGCTTGTCGTTCCACATCGTCTAAAGTATGTGAAGATGACATGTGACGGTGTATGAAGCAGTAAAAGAACTGTAGTAGAGGGCAAGAACAGAATAGCGATGAAATTTCAACAGTAGGCTTGCAACTGTGACTAGGCAGCGAAGGAAGGCTCTTAAGATATATTTATCCACGCCACGCTAGGCTACTTTTGCGCTCTTTTCGCCAAACAACGCGTTAGTTCTGTAAACACTTAGCCGCTCTAAGGAGTGCTATCACGATTCTCCTATTGGCTAGTCTAAGAATAGAAAAGAATGAACTCAACTGATTAGCATTCAGCGTCTAAAGAGACACAGCAAGCAACACGGCATTAATCGAGCTGATGGCTGCTAGTGTTACTAATGATTGGGATAGAAGAAAAGACAGTCGTAAAGAGAACGACAATGCGGCATACTTCATAGAATACGCGTTTGTGTGACCAAGGCGTGGTAGAAACCGAGCTTGCAACAACGGCTTCCTGCCGCTTAATTTGGGGCAAGCGAGAATGCTCGATGCAGGTGATGGCAGTGCGGCGCAGCGCTACGTACGACAGCCGATACTCGTGACGCTCAACCTTGTCTCAGCCTTGCATCTCAGCCTCGCTGCTCGCGTCGCTGTACCGCTCTCTCCACCTCGATTTCACCTTTTCGTCTCTTTCATTTCCGTTCCTCTTGTTCGCCGCTTCCTGTCGCCTCTAAATTCTGATCCAGCATCTTTATCAGATGCTGCTCTCTTACTATCGCAATGGTAGGTCTGACGTGGGAGGGGCACACGCATCGAAACTAACGCGGGGCTAGGTTCGGCCAGTCACTAGCAAAGACGTGGGTCTAGTAAGGGTGCTTCGCGAAGCACCTGCAGAAACGCAGAGCATCAAGTACGTTTACCTACAACAGTCATCTACACACAACTCACAGTAATCTAGCTAGCATCGTCGCAGTCCACAGTCTCAGCGCCTATCCTAATAACAGCTAGTGCAAGAACGCTAGCATAGCAGAAGAGCCAAGATAGCGCAACTAGCTTATTAAGGACGACATGCTACTAGCAGTAGCGCCTAACGCGCGTATTATGCGGTATAGTTATAAGTCACGGAAGTAGTTATTTCTATTAGTAAATGTGCCCAGCGCGTAGGAAAGTGTGTGTTAGCTATTAATCTATTGCCCTACTGCTCCGAACTTAGAAAACATCTTAATTATTACAATGATGTAGGGGTGCGAAGAAATAGAAAGTAGAAATATCGCGCATAAAACATTGAATAGCGTAACGAAGACGACTATGTTTTTTGTAGCACGTACTATCTAGTTAAAAACTATTATATAGAGAGTACCACAACGTTGAGCGCAGCTCGATACGTCTGCGTGGAAAGGAAATAAGAGGTTGGACGGCAGATTCATCTCAGTGAGGCGGGTTTCTCGGTTATGCGGGATGCACGTTACCAAACTTTTTTTTTCGAAACTGCGAGTTCCTGACGACGTCTCTGAAACTAACATTGATTGCCGTGTGGCTGATGTAGCCAGGATAGTCCTTGTAGGAAATAAGGTTGGAGCTGGATGGGTTGATCCGTATTACGTGAAATGGTTTGTGATTCTTATTGAGTTACAGAAGGACCCGCGTGACCTTGAGTGTCCGACACGTTGTGCCCATACGTTTACATGTAGAGAGCCAAAAGCCGACTGGAATGAAAGGATACAGTCAATAGGTAGGGCAGGGTGGAGTAGCCCTGTTGCCAAGACATTTACCGAGCCGTAGCGCGTATCCGCGAACTTATGCCACTGCAGGTCCAACAACGGATCCACTTTCCTTTACTACTTCAACTCATGCTTCTGGATAAGTGAATCGCATACGAGCCTTTTGCGTAGTACAGGTTTGGCTGTTGCTATACTTATAAATGCTGACGCTGGCAAGCCTTGACCCCATCCTACTAAGCTTTGGAATTCGATAAATCAGCGTTCGGCTAGCTTCCTTTAGCGCGCCGTTTTCCTTTTAGGCCCAGCCCCTGTTCCCTGACCCTCGTGTTTGCGCAACCAGTCTGCAGCCTTGGGAGTTCATTCACTAGCCCCCCTGGTTCGTATTCTTCCCCATTGGATGCCGTGGTCAATTGTATCCCACATATTGGGCGTAGTAACACGAGGGCAGTCTCCGTACTTACCGCTGACGTTGCTATTTCTAGTTCTTAGCACCCCTTTCAGCCCTGTCGCTGCACACCTGTCATATAACGACCTTTACTCCAGCGCACATCCACTCCTCTTTTCCACTACACATTCAGCCTTGCAATAGACGCGCCTGCGCCACACTATCAGTCCCGCCAACAGCCACCTCGCCGTGTCGCCAACCGCAGCCATGACTACCTCCATGACTACCTCCATGACTACCTCCACCCCAACGACAACGTACCCCTATTCATACACTACATTTACCAATGCGTCACCAACCCCCTTCACAACGCCATCGGCCTTACCATCCATGTTCCCATGGGGCGGCCTCCCATCCAGCGCATGCCCCGTTCCATCCAACGCCCCCTCGTCTGACCCAGACGTGCCCTATATCCGCCCCGATGGCCAGCTCGGCAGCTGCGTAATCAGCAACGTCGAATCCGTCAATGACCACTCCTTCTGGGACATGTACGACTGCTGCAAGACGGGCAAGATGACCGCAACCGGCTCTACCTTGCCCTGCACTTCGATTTGCTATGCAAACGAACAGCGCAGTTTCCTCGAGATTGGCGAGTGTCTGAGCAAGAGGAACAAGATTGTCGTGTGCAGTCCGCCCGAGGATCAGAGGGGCGAGCCACAGAGTTCGGGCTCGCATTCGAGCTCGACAAGTGCGAGTGCTACCAAGGCGGATACTACCGTCGTGAGCGCGAGGCCTACGGCGACGGCGGCCCAGGGCGCGGCGAATACAGTTGCGGGTGGGCAGGGTGCGGCATCCAAGGCTGGGTTGGTGGTGTTTGGCCTCATGGCATTGTCGTCTGCTGCAGGCATGCTGCTGTAATCGTTGCGATTGATTGAAGTGGTGCGTTTTCCAGCAGATTGTTTCAATGTATGTATATATGTAATATCAGTTTCCATAGTGGTTACTTTGGGAGGGGGGTTCAAGTTCCTTCTTTGTCCAACTACTTGGCTTTAATTCTATAGAAACATAAGAAATTGAAGAAGATTTTTGACACTGTTCTGCATCTCAGTATCATTTCTTCACCTCATACACGTGGATACAGTGCCAGAACGGAATATCCATCCTCATCATTCGAGAAGAAGTTGTAGAACTGGAAAAGGAGGGCCGACGTAAGGTGCCCGTCCATCTCGGATTGTTTTCTCCACCTGGGCTCTTGGCCTCGGCCCTCTATGGGCACCGAAGCATTCGGTATGTACCGGGCCTCTTTGGAGGCCATTCGACTAATGTCCATGGATTCTGTTGTTACCTCTAGTGGTACTGTGCGTGAAGATGTCCCCGTGGGGGGGGGGGGGGGCGATTGGTCTGGCCGGATGACTTCCTCGCTTTCTGCACTACTGCTAGCCAAGTATCGTTGCAAGGGGCTGTCCATGCCAATCACCTGGGGTTGTTCCCATTCCTCTTGGGATCTGGGTAGTCTCGAACTATCGTTCTCATCGAGTGTATCCTCGTAAGCTGTCGCGCTCCTTCCATAACCCTCTAAGTTTTGTAACTCCGTGGTATTCCTTGTCAGGAATGAGTTATACTGGTTCCTCTGATCTTAAGACGAACCTTGTGCCCTGCTGAAGGTGGCATCCTGTTAAATAAGACTGCACCGTGGTCGCATAGGTAGCGGCATTGATGCGGTATCGCGGTTGGAGCGTCCAATTTCCTGGAATCGACGAATGAATTCCAAAGCACTCCCGGATGGGGAGGAAAGGCGTTCAGGATATGGAGAAAGAGGAAACGCTGTGGTTGACTGCGGCGTGCGCGGGGGTACGCTTGGTGACGATGGCAGAACTGGCTGTTGAAGAGTGTCAGACTCTCTCATCGTGGTTCGACAAGAAACTGGCGATCCAGACCGATCGCCTTGACTATCAGCGACCATCTGAGAGCTGTCTTGCTGAGTGACAATGGTCTGCCTACGATAAAGCGTAAATGATCGACCATGCTTGGGGGTGTTGAGCAGTGCGGCAAGAGCTGGACGTTTCGGAGAACCCGGGAACGACGACGACGACAACTCGCTGCTAACACGCGTTGAACGGCCTAGAGAGCCCATTTCTCTTTTAGGTGTAACTTCCTCTCGATTTCCGGGCGAAATGTGCTCAAGGGGAACTGATGGCGTTCTTTCATCCCGCTCCCACGGGATATCATCTAAGCACTGAGTCACAGTGGCGAGCAATTGCTTCACCGCGGTATCATCCCTATCTACTATTGGGCCCACAATGCGTCTATGCCTATAGGCTCTCGAAGACTCCAGATAGGCATTCATCTATCTTTGCAATTCCTGATATTCTTCCTCGGTTGACCTCAAGCGGTCCATGACAGCTTGCGTGGTTCTTGCCAGAGGCGCAAAGCTCTCTCGGAACTGGTCGACGGCGTTTGTCATCTCGTCTCTGAGTATTTCTCGATCTTCGCGAAACACATTGAGCTCCTCCCAAGGGAGTTTTCGGTCGTCTTCATCCAAGTTTGTGTTGGATGGCTGTGGATGGTTGTGGTGACTGAGCGAGACTGGCTTTTATTATTATATACGCACGGACTGTGCGTTTTTTGCTTCTCACTGTTCACTACTTACTAGAACAAGGATCTATGGAACCAATAATGCAGGAACTAGTGAAAGTGGAAGCTGGCGAAGAAGATTATCGGTCATCTACGGATGATACGGACACCGGACTGAGGGTTTTGGTGTTACAAAATCCGACCCTCCATTCATGTACATGTAGGATGTAGAAGAATATCCAGGTATGATACTAGCATCCAATCACATTCTGTGGGACTCAAGGTCAATAAGATCCTACTGTGTATATGAATGGGGCTTCATGGCCTTATCATTGCAAGGTATACAGAGAAAAGTGCCACTGGTCCTGTCCAGCAATCTGTGAGCACTGAAGGCTTTCCTGACTTCGTGTGATCTGACAAAGGAACAGTTTTAGAGCCACATGCGCTTTCGGCTCTATGCAGTGCTCACCAAGTTACCATGGTCCTTGGTAGGTATAGAGGAACTGCTCTTGGTCTTGCTCAAAGCACAGCAGGAACAAGAGACACCACTCTCATTCTTGATCTCCCAACGAAATTGGTAGTAACACTGGCTCTTTGTGGGCATGTATCTTGTGATGAGTAGGGCCGGCATTTTGGTAAGTGGTGAGGACATCACTGAGAAGTCTGTTAGGGGTATCGTGGGAAATGGGGCTGGCGCTGCACAATCATATGAGAGCGACGAGAAGGTCTTTGGCATCAGAGTCAATTCGAGGAAGATCGAAAGCATTGGTTTTGGGGTTCCACTATCATGGAGTGGTTCCTATGGCCCTGTCGGCCTGTGGATGTGTAGAAAGTGTCGTGACCGATCATGATGCGTCGAGAGCTTGCCGGGTGTTCTTTCTATTCCTAGTCCTGACGTCAGAGCCAGACTGACGGAAAGTGCGTGGGACTCAAGCGATGCCTGAAGCTCAGCGTTCCATTAACTGTTAGCCGCTGTAAGGCGCTAACTATATATACTATCCTGTGTAGAGTATCAGCAGAACGCTGATTATTCATACCTTTTTGGTTGTAGTAGCGCAGTGGCACAGGGCTGGCTATCTAACAGTAAGGTATAGATAGGAGTGGAAGTAATATAAGACTTCACGTGTCAAGCTTCTTATTAGTTAGTTTCCGCAGATAGAGCGGCAGGGTGCAATACTAGATGGTAACTTGCAA